AAACTCCACACTAACTCTTGTAAGAAAACGCTATAAATGCATGTTTCAAAGCCACAAGTCGCAGGGTCTTGGGCGAGATCGACAAGGATGGGGTTTCTTCAGGCTCATGCTTGGACGAAAGCGAAGCTATGAAATCGGAGCCCACTCTTGGTAAGCTTACATGTTTTTCTGATGGTTTTGTAGATGGTCGACCTCAAGGAAGTAACTACGCTCTTGGGAGAGACACTTCGGTGCCAGTACCGCTGTGGGTTAGATATCGTCCTCTGGAAGGTTTCTGGACTCGGTTTGTCACGGACCCGGACCCCGACACGAACATCCTGCAGGCTATCGAAAACCTCAGGCTGGAGGTGTGTGTGGTTGACGAGGAACAGGACTGGGATACAGTTAAGAAGCAATACGAGAGCTTCATGCGCGTGGTGGCGGAGGTCATGGCGATTGTGGTTCGGCATGCGAAAGGAGGTGACTTACGGCGTTGATCAACTGGCCAGCACAAGGAAGCGGCAGTGCCACATCTTTGTGAGCGGTTCTCCAAGAATGCCTGCACAAGGCAAGTCAGATAAGAAGGTGACTACCACAAGCTAGCAGAAGCACGGGGAGAGCTGGTCCGCCTCTCAAACCAGTGCTTCCAGGCGAAATACGAAGCTCAGAGAAACGCAGAACGGTGCATTCAGCAACACTTTCAGGGGCTTTGCCTTCACTGGGCGGGAGGTCGAGAGAAGGGTGTTATTTTCCAGCGACAGCATCTGATCAAGGACGATCAGCCGGTTGACGGCGAACCGTTAAACTACTACCCGGTTGACGTGTGGGGAGAGGGCATGAAGACCATTGTGTGGCACTGTGCCAACGACGAGGGTTTCCAGCTTCAAGCGAGAGCTGAGGAGCAGTGCACCTATGGAGGGAAAGACAGCAAGTCAAAGTGAGAGCTACTAGTGGATACAGGACTGGTAACGAAAGTTTGGAGATGGCAGTCCACGTGAAGGCCGAGGCAGTGGAGGCGGTGACGGTGAACCGGGCCGCTCGTGTCACGGCTCTGTCGTCTGTAGTCTCAGTGAGCGTGGCACACTCGTGCTGCAAGACGAGGAATTGGCAGCCTTTCCGGTGGAGGTGGAGGGAATCGATAGACCAGCCATGCTAATTCGAGACGCTGGTTTCGCGCTAGTGGAAAGGCCTCCTTTCACCGCGGCAAATGAGCGAGCAGCTCTACGCAACGCTCGTCCGGGTTTTCAACGCGCATGGAGCGACATTGTGCTCCGGAACATATGCTGCAAAAATGGTGTGTACCGCTTCATCGACTGGGGGATGGCCTGTCGGCCGGGGCTCGATCCTCTCAGGGAGCTGTAGCAAAGGCCTGGCCGCGTGCTCTCGTCACAGTCTCGATCCCGCCGATAAAAGATTGGGAGCTGTTGCCGGACTGTGCACTGTTCTTTGAGGAACCTCGGAACCTGAAAGACTGCGTATAGGGACTGTTTACTGCTGCTTGATACTGCTCAATGGCCGTGGGAGGAAGCGGCGGCTTCCAGAGACCCCTAACAGGTTTCTTGTGTCCGGGTTGTGACTATGCTCAAGATGGCCAAAGATGAGCACCTTCATGGAGTAGAACTGGATCTTCAAGCTGGAGATAGTAAGAAAAACTGCCATTGTACCATTGGAGAATGGCAGGAGGTCATCTATTTATCTCTATCTATATGTTGTTTTGATAGCGCATCGTGAAGATTGAAATTTGAGGCCGCATCTTCGACGTCTTCCTCCCCTCCTTCGTTGGCCGTAAAATGTATGATAAATTAATTGCTACAAAGTTTGACCAAGTGCAATTGTCAAAAGCGTCAACCTTGACCATGAAATGGTAATTCTAGTTCAAACGCGATGGTGGTGGTGCACAGGCTCGTCCATGATCTTGGCCTCCAACAGCTTGGCTCTCAGGCTGTTGTCTCGGCTGCTCGACCGCGGCCAATTCACGTCCCCGGAAGAGCTCCAGCTATTCCTCTGGGGCGTCGCCACCATCGAGGAGCTCATCAATGGAAACGACGAGTGCAGCAGAGGCGACAGCGTCGGCGTGCTCCCGTCTTGGCTCCTCCTGTGCTGTGCGTACTCGAGAGCGAAATCATCCTCAGCTTTGCATAGCGTTTGTTGATCCCCGTCCTCGTCTTCCTCCTCCTCCTCCTCGTTGTTGCCATGCCAAGCTCCTCCTCCTCTGTGCTGCCTGGAAGAAGCTCGGACGCTCTCCATGTAGAGCTCTTGCTGCTCTGGAATTGTGTCGATCCTTCTGCTCGGGCCGAAACCATAGCCCTCACCTCGTCCATCGAAGCAGCTCTCGTCCGGACCATTCTCTTGCTCCGTCGACTGCTGCTCCACCAGGCTGTTCTCGTCGTAAGTTCGCTGCCTTCGAAGCCTCCTCCGTCCCCTGACCGCTTTTCTCCGTAGCTCTTGCCTCTTCTCGGCTGGATTGTCCGCCTGGCCCTGCTTGTTCCTGGCGTAAGTCCAGCGGTTCCCTTGCGTTCGATCATAGAGCGACTCCTTGTTCAGATCGATCGAGTGTAAGTCCTCCTCGGCCGAACTCCCAGTCTCGTTTGGCTTCCGCAGGGAATCCACCGCGGCTCGCAGCGTCGTCGCCTTGTCCAGCTCCTGGCTCTCGCCGGCTCTTGCCGCGGACTTGTTCCGCAGAAACTCCTCCAGCTCGCCTCGAAGCCTGTCCAGGCTCGCGTTCTTCTCTTCCAGTTCGTGGCGCGCTTCCGCGAGTTTCATCTGGACTCGCTCCTCCCGCCACACCTCCGCCATTTGCAGCATCCTTCGCTCCTCCTCCACCTCCTCGCGGACTTTCTCCGACTCTCGCTTGAGCTCCTCCACCTCCGCCTTGTCCTGCCCGATCTCACGAGCCAGCTCGTCGCACACTTCCTCCATCAGCTGCCTCGCCTTTCTCTCTCGCTCCAGATCGTTCATGGCTTTCGAGAGAGCCGAGCTTGTCTCTTCCAGCTGCCGTGCCAGCTTTCGGTTCAGGTGCTCGGCCTTGCGTTTGTGCCGCTTCTCTTCCTCGGCCTCGCTCTTCGCCGCGATAACGATGGCTCGCCACCTTTCCTGTTCTTTGGCTCGCCATGCAGCCCTCTCGCTCTCGCTTCTCTCCAAGAGGATCTCGACGTCCCTGCGAGCCGCTTTGTTGGCGTGTTCCAGCTCTCTCACCCGCTGTCGTGTGTGTTCTAGCTCCACCCGTAGAACAGTAGCCAAAGGAGTCGACCCGGCTTGTTGCTGGTCCATGCCCCGGATGTGAGATAGAACTTTGAGGAAATCATTCGAGTTTGGAAGGCATTCTTTTACTCGCGAAGCAACTTCGTCGACCATATCTTGCTGCTGCTGTTGCTGCTGTTTATTCTGGGACTCCATCTACGGAAAAAAGAAAAAATAGAAACAGTTTAGTACAGGCCATGCAACGCAATGCAATGCAAGGATAGTCACCTCAAAGCTGTGCCGGGATGTTTCCGACGCGTAGAGTTCTTCCGACGCTCTCCGGCTGTGATAAGTTACCGAGTCCGAGTATGGGCTTCTTCTCTGATTGTTAGTGGCCTGCGAGGCACAAACTTACATCAGAAACAAAGTGATCAAAACTTGCAAAACTCGCAACTCTAGAGAGGAAAAAAAAAATCTGGGAAAAGCACTCAACTACAGTGGAAAGTAAGAGAAAACAAGGCTTTGCTTACATTGTGAGGAACGGGGGTCGTAGGCGACGGTGGAGGCAGCATCAGATGCTTTGGACTTGCGACGGACTCCCGCTGCCTGGCCTGTGACGATGAGCGCGAGCGCATTTTAGCCGACGATGGTGGGCCTCCTCTGGCAGGACAAAGCGGAAGTTCCTGGAGCTCCCACAGCGTGGCGGCTAACTTTCGTGCCGAGATAGTTATCTGGCGACCGGCAGCCTCGCTCCCCGCCATGATCCCGTCGTAGGAAGGATTCTCGTACAGCTTCCAGCTCGGAACTGGCGTCGTAGGCCCCCGCTTCCCAGCCAGTATCGCACGCCTGATGCGTATGTTTGCTGGCCTGTGCACCGCATCACCGCTCTTTCTCGCTTGATGCTGCTGCTGTTGATGAACAACAATGGCCTTGGATCTGCCCATATCCCTCCTGTCCGCTCCTCCTTTTATCCCTATCTATGACTACACACCTCTGAGATTGGAAAGGAGGAGGAAAAACTCTTCTTTTTCCTCGCTTTGTCCAGAAGCTCAAAGCCCACGACTCTCACATCTTGTGGCGCTGGCCAGCAGCGGTGAGCGGCTGGATCCACCAGCCATGGTTTCCAGTTCCGTGCCTAGAAGAAAGAATAGACTACTCCTTCCTCCCCACCCCTTACATTTTGTCTCACTTCTTTAGCCTCCTCTGGAAATAATATAAAAGCGTACCCGGGTGATCCGATCTGTATCTGTATCCGGCTTTGGTGTGATATTCGGCCTGCCACAGGGAGATGCCCATACCTCTCTTTGTATGTTTGTGTGAGACTGTGAACAAAACTCCCTGAAACAGAGCACACAAACAAAGAACGTTGTAAGTTCTGTTCTTCCTGTACGCTTGCAACACTTGTACAGTATGAAAGCTCCCAAGAACTCCCGAAAAGGAAGAGGTAAAGGAGTGCCCCGAGGGAGAGCCTATCACTTTCCCTGCTCTCACTGCTAATTAATGGATAATTCCTCTCGCTGGGATGTTGCGGGATATGGAGTATCAATCACTCAATTCGGCAACAACAAAAGAGAGAGAGCTAAGATAGCAGTGGTACGAGAATGATAGCAGCAGCAGCAAGCACGAGTACAAACAAGCATCCACAAAAGAAATACAAGTCTAATGAGCCAAGGACACAGGGCCAGGCCCAGAGAAAGCCACTAGCTAGTTAAACTTTAGCACGGCGGCATTGGATTCCAAAAACAAGCCACAAGAAATTCCTGCCTCTCTTCCAAGTCTCTCCTTTTCCTTTTCTTTTCTCTCAAGCACGCAAGCCCATATCAGTATCAGTGCCTTGGCATTGCATCAGGTGTGGATAGTTTCTCAACAGGACTTACCTGAGAAATGAGAAAACTTTCAGCGATCAAGTGTAGAGCATCACTTGCAAGGCATTTCCGGGCAAGAAAAACATGGATTCGCAGCGCACAGGCATGGCGCATTCTAGGAACTCAACAGGAAAAGAGCGGCATTGCTTGGAGTTGGAGAGGAAGAAAGCGCACATTCCAAACCCTACACCCTAAACACTCTTACCTTTAATAAATTATCGTAACAATTAGGTTCTAATAACTTTAAAGGTCCTTGTGTATCAAGTCAAAAGTGTATCTCTTTTCGCTCCGCGAAAAACTTTCCCGAGGGATAATCCTCAGCTTCAAGCGTTGCAAGCCAAACCGGGGTGTCTGCCCCTTGTTCAGCTGTAAAATGGCCTTCACCGCCAGTCAAGTCCGTTTTTGTATATCCTGGGCACACCGAGTTGACACTAATCTTGTTGTTTTGCAGCTTCTTTGCGAGAATCCTGGTGTAGGCGTTGAGCGCAAACTTGGACATGCAGTAATCTGCGTCCATCTTTGGGTAGCCTTCCTCCGCCACCTTTCCTCTCTCAACAGCACCCCGAAACTCCTGCAAGCACAAGTCAATCACTTGCTCGCTGAGATGTTCCGCATCAGAGAACTTTGCCACTTGAAACTCATTCTTGAGAGGCTGCCAAGAAACAATACAAAATGTAAAACAACACATGCATTGAAGAGCAACACTTACATCATAGTCATTGTTAAGCTGGCCGAGGCGGGAGCTTATGTTGATAATCCGGCCCCCAGGCTTGATTATCGGGAGGACCGCTTGGGCCATCCGCTTGGCACCATAGTAATTCGTCTCAAAAAGTGCTTGGGCTCCTTCCACTTCGTTCTCAAAGCCCTTGGACTTGATCCCCGCATTATTCACCTTTGAAGAACACACAAGCTTTTCAATCTTTGGAAGAATTCCTCTCTTACCACTCTCTTCTTACCAGGATATCTATGGCGCCAAACTTTTGCTGGAGCCAAGCGGCCATAGCGGACACGGATTGCGAGCTCGAGACGTCCAGCTCATGGAATTCGGCTTCCAGGCCTTGCGATTTGAGCCGCTCCAACGCATCAATTCCTCTCTTTGCGTCACGGGCCGTGAGAACGGTCGTGAATCCCTTGCTCGCGAGCTGCCTCACAATCTCGAAACCAATCCCCTTGTTACTTCCTGTAACTACAGCCACTTTGCTCTCTCGCTTCGCCATAGCTCTCTCTCTCTCTCTCTCTCTCTCTCTCTCTATCGGATAACTTTCTAACAAGTCACAAAGGACACGAAACCACGAAAGTCACAAAATCATCGTGGACACGGAAACCACACAGACAACTTTGTAACAAAAGTCACACACACACACACAAAAAATTTCAAGGTCTCGTGGACATGGAACGAGCATGAAAGCTTCCCTGATCTCACAAGCCTTTTTTTTTTCTTATTATTTCTCACATTTGTAAGACGCACAAAAAGTAATATGACCACCACTCTTAACTCGACGCCCCCTTCACAGGGAAGAAGAAAAAGAAAAAGGAGATAGAAAAAAAAGAGAAGAAAACCGTTCCTGCCCCTCAAACCTCTGTAAAAATGTTAAAGCAATGATCCAAAACAAATCTCCGCTCGCGCGATCACGATGTTTGAGGTGACAAAATCGACTGTAGCGCAGCCTGCTGCTGAGGTTGCAACGCAGACCATGTCGAAGCAAGAGCAGCCGGGGGGAGTCTTTGCTGCATCTGTCTCAGCAAAGTCACCATGCGTGCAGCAGTTTGTTCGTTTGATAGCTCTGCTCCCGAGCTAAGCACCTGAATTCACCGGGAGAAAGAATGATTCCAAGAAGCTCAGGGCCTCTAAAAATCTTACCTCTGCAAAAACGGAGACGATCTTTGGTAGAAACTGATTGTTGGGGCCGAGAAGTTGGGGATCCGAGCTGCTTGGACACATTGCAAATAAGTTCTAACCGGAAATCTGAAGGATGCTTTGTTTACCTTTCAACCATGCTACAGAGCTGCTCGTGGACAATTTTGGCTTCTACAAGGTCACCTTTGAGTGGTAAACAGCCCAACCAAGCAGGGACGACCTGATGAGAAACACACACAAAGTGATGATCAATACATAATAGAGAAGAGCACACACACACACACACACCTGTGTAGCATCGATGCTATCTCTTTGGAACTGACATATTTTTCCAAGAGCAGACACAGCATTATCGGTTGCCATGATGTTATCCTGTTGCCGCGCAGCGGGATGGCTTACAACAGCATTCAAACGCTCCAAAGCCTCTGTAAATAAACATACAGATTAGCCGCAGAAACAAGCCGGTAACGTAACCTCGGACAACAGGCTTGAATTTTGCTCCACCAAACTCAGCACATACACCAATGCCGTATACGGCAGCCTGTGATACATAAACAAGCGAATGAATGAACGCACTTTCTAGTTCTTGTTTTAGCCAACCTGTCGGACATCGCAATTGACGTCATTGGCTGCTTCCAGCATGAACGGCAGGAATGTATCATAGTATCTGCAGACACAAAAGGCGTATAAGAGAATTTTAATCGTAAAAACTGGCAATACTTGATTGCAGCTTCTCCGCACTGCTCGGCGATGTCGTCAAAAATACAAATTGCGATTCTTCGTTCTTCAGATGTTCGATCTTTAGACTTCCAACCATTAAAACAAGAGGTAAGCAACCGAGACGAATATATACTAGACGTCTTACCAGCATAGGTGTCACGAAAGGCATGAGCTCGTCAAAGAAAGGAACAAAAGACGCTTTGAACGTTTTGATGAGTGTTCCAATACATTCCCCAATCTATGAAAACTCGTTGAGATGTTAAAAGAAATAAATAGTAGAATTACCTGATCAAAAACTTCGTCTTCCTGTTCGTTTTCTTCGTGTAGCAACTCACGCTCTTCTGCATCAAAATCTTCTGTCTTTGTTCGTTCCGCACGATCCCTTTTCCGTGTGCTGCTCGCTGTCAACACTTGCTTGAACTCCTCAACAATAGCTTTTATTTGCCCTTGATCGAGCATTGGACCAACAAGCTGCAAACATATGCACCTATAATTATTTCGATTCCTCAATAAAACTGGAATAGCATACCTGAATACACTCATTCAAGGAGTCCAGCATACTAGAAATTATTTCAGTCTCGGGCTCCTGTAAATTGACCATTACCATCTGAAAGAAAACTACAAACTAGAAGAAAACCTTGCGGAGAGCTTCGATAAGAGGCGGTACTATGTAGTCCGTGAGTTGCTTCACATAAGTTTGATCCCGCCCTTGTGCTTGTCCTTTCTCCACAGCCAGCTTACCAGACCTCAGAAGCTCAGGCATAGCTGTTCATATATACATGATAAATTTATCGTACAGCTAAAGTATGAAACATACCTGAAACGGCGGCTTTTCGAACTTCTTCATGAAAGTAAAACTTCAATAAGGGTACAAGGATCGGCGCGACCTGAAAGTAAACGGGGAATTACATGTAATGCATTGTTGACCCGCCATAGCGTACCTACCTGCTCGATCCACGGAAAGAACCCTTCCTTGAGTTCGTCCGCATAACAACACAACATATTACAAGCTGTTGCCTTTTCTTCCAGAACGCTTGTTCTGATACCAATTTTCTTGTCCCCGATAGTGATTGTCTCCACACTAGCATATAGTGGAAAATTTAAAGTTATGGTAGTGCAGCAAATCCAAAGAATACCTGTCGTCATCTGTATCGTTCCCTTCGTCCTCGGTGTCCGCATCCGTTATGGTCACGTCTGGTTTAAGTTGCGCAGAGCGCAGAAGGGGTGGCATAACAACATTCATATACGGTAAAAATTCTTGACCCAAACATTTACATAGCCGAGCCCAAGCCTGAAATTAAATGAGGAGATCAAACAAAACCACATCGTTCCTATGAAAGGAGATACAAACCTGCAACATGTAGCTAATGGTTGGATCGTCATCCTCCAAGTGCGCACCCTGGAGGGTCATCAGAACTTCCATCACCTGGAAACGTAGAGACATTAGAATATAAGCGACCGTTTCCATAAGAAACATACCTGCTTCGCATCATCTCTGAACTTGTCTTTGCCGACGGCCATACCTACAAGGCTGATACACTCCATAGACTTCGCTCTAAGCATGCGGTTTTGCTTGTCTGTGGCATTTATAAGAATAGTCTTCAGGTACGGCATGACTGCATCGTAATACTTTTGGAATTGAACCTGCAAATATCGAACGTGAGATGTCGAAGGGCAAGCGTCATCATGAATTAACCTGGGCGGAATCAGCGACAGAAGCTAGTGCTGTCAAAGCACCTTCTTGCACCATTCTTTTTCCATTCTGATAGAAACAACGATGTTGAAACCTTGCTCAGGGTTATAAAGAAAATTACCTGCAAAAGAATCAACAATTTACCGATGACACCTTCCAAATAAGGCGTCAAAATATCAGAAGTACAGCTTTCGCTAAAATTCAATATTGCGGCTGCCGCGTGAGCCTGTACCGAGCAAACTTGTTAATGATAAAAAAGAATATAAAAGAAAAGATTGTTACCTGAACCCGAGGATTTTGGTAGTCATCCATGGCACCAACAAGAGCTGGAAGCACCCGCTGATGATAGAGCTGTTGCAAATCAGGTCCTAAATCTGTGGAGAGCTGTCCGATCGCATTAATAGCAGCCCATCTAACTCGGGGATGTGGATCTTGAAACGAATTCAAAATCATGGACACCACCGGCTCTAAATTTTTTATCATCACCTATAACCAAGCATAAGTCAGTATGTCTTGAAAAGCACCGAAGAAAGGAAAAAGGAAATATATTACCTTGGCACATCCTTCGGCAATCTGTGCAAGGGTGATCAACGCGGCATGCCTCTTCTTCCAGTCCGGATCAGAAATGTAAACGGGCAGGATGTCCGATGCAACCGGCAGGATCGTGTTCCCCCCCAGAGAGATCGCCAACCTGTCCAAGCATTCCTGACCAACTTCAAAATTCGAGCTCTCTCCAACGTCCTCATCTTCCGTGTCAGCGACATGCCACGCCGGAAGGTCCTCCAAATCCAAGAGCATCTTCACCAGTGTCGCGAAAAGCCTGCTGATCATTTGTGGCAACTTCCGCATCATCCCCGGCGCCCTCTCCCTGGCCTCAGCGAGAGTGATCAAAAACTCCACCGCTAAGTGACGAGTACCCTCCTCGAGCGACTCAGCCTCAGCGATCTGCATCATGGTGCTCACCACATCCACAAGCTGGCGTCGCATAAACCTTGGCTCCGACCCGGCAACCTCGATAAACATCTCAAGAGCCTCCTGCGCTGTGGCCTCCTCGTTGTTGTTTAGAGCCAGAGACAGCGTCTGCATCATTCCGGGTAGCAAGTTCTGGAACCTCTCTCGATCCTGGACCGATTCCAGCGTTTGCACGAAGCTGGCGGTCGCGCGGAGTGCCGCAATGCGCACGTCGCTCGAGGTGTTGGACGACAGGCACTGCTGGAAGACCGCGTGCAAAGTCGGCAAGTGTGAGCGGAGGTGAGGTCCCATGTACTGCGCGAGCTGGGCAAACATGAGCAGCGCGCTCTCCTGGAGCCTGGGAACGTCGGAGCTCACGCACTGGAACATGAATGGAAGGAGCTCTGGCCAGCTCCCATCCTCGATCAAACTGGCCGCTAGCTCCGCCACAGTGTCACACAGCTTCTTGAGGGTGCTCTTGGTCTCTTCCCTCTGGACGCACACCAGGAGCTGGGTCTTGAGCGTGGAGTGGGTGTTGGGATTGAGCAGCGACCAGAGCGAGACCTCGTCCTTGGTGATGAGCTTCCGCAAGAGGATAGCGGACATAGCGCGCGTCTCGACATGCCCGGACTGTAGAGTGTGAACGAGCTTGAGCACCAGCGTGTCCGGGTGCTGCGCCTTGCAAGCGTTGAAAAGCTGCTCGGCGTGGCCGCGCTGGTCGTTCGTGGGGCTCATCAGCTGGGCGACGAGCGCCTCGAATGGCGCCATCTCCATCCCCAGCACAGCTGCGACCTCCGCCTCCATCGCCTGGATCGAAAACCCTAGCGATCCAATCCGCCACACAAGACGAGGAAGAATCACGCGCCCGCAATTTACCGTGACAATGCAGCAGCAGGAATGCGAGGATCACCGTGGCGGATCCATCCGCCGCAAGCGCGCATCCACTCCAGGGTTTACCCCTGCCAGAAAACCCTAAAAGAGAGCCATTGTCGCGGCGTTTCGTGCCCTAGCCACAAGAACCGTACGGAGAATCTAATCCCGCTTACCCTAACCCTAAAAACAGGGGAGGGTGCGCATATTCTCTTTACAAATCTGGGCGGGACAGGTGTATGGTGCCACGTGGAGCGCGCTGCGCACGTGTTACGCTCCCATCGCCATGCATACCTAGAGAAGCTCTTAAAGGCGGCCCATGATGCGCATCCAGCGCTCCACGCATCCATCTATCCAGCCATCCATCTCTCCAGCCTCCATTTCTTCTATAAATCCAAACTCGAGTGGTGGACTCTTCTCCATTATAGCATCTCCAAGGGGCGCTGGTTTTTAGTTCCTCGCGGCGGCTCCTCTTCAACAGCTAGAAAACGAGAGTGGTTTTTCTTTGGAGCGAGGACTCTCGACCGCGCCCAAGGCTTCTCTTTCGATCGATCAAAGAAGAATCGAATCGATATGGCGTTTGGACCGGGACGATCGGTTGCGGCATTCCTCCTCTTCCTCAACTTCTGTATGTACATGGTGGTGCTGGGCTTGGCGGGCTGGGCGATGAACAAGGCGATCGACTATAGCCAGGCGAACATCGTCAATCAGACTGGCGCAGTAACAACGCTCACAAGGTTCCCCGTCGGTAAGGCTGTCAAATCTTTCTTTCTTTCTTGTCAATGGCTCACTCCCGAGATCTTTCTCTCTCAGGGAACGCGGCGACGCCCTTCTTCCTCCTCTTCATCCTCGGCGCGGGCGTTCTTGGCCTGGCATCGATACTCGCGGGCGCTATTCATGTCAGCTTGTGGCGCAGCGAGAGCCTCGCCGCGGCGATTTCCTCCGCCTTGATTGCCTGGCTCTTCACTCTCCTGGCATTCGGGTAAGAATCGAGGAGATTTCTCGGGGTTTCTTGACGGAATTGATCTCTTTTCCCAGTTTCGCTTGCAAGGAAATCCAGCTCCGCGGTGGATACCGCAACAGGCGCCTGGTAAGGCCTTGAATTCCGTGCTTTCGATTGATGGATTGAGGAATCTTTCTCTTTGGCAGAAAGCACTCGAAGCGTTCTCGATCATCCTGGCAGGAATGCAACTCCTCTACATTTTGTCGCTCCATTCTGGCATGCTGGCGAGGATGGGGCCGAGGATCAAGGAGCCTGGCTATGGCGGCATGGCACAGGGCATGGAACAGAAGGGCGGCCCTACAACTGGCTCCACGATTTGAAGAAAAAGAAGGAAGAAGAAGAAGCTTTCTTTTCTTAGAAGAAAAGCATGTAGCATTCCTATTCGTTGTATGAAAGAAATCTAGGGCTTCCAAAACGGCTACTTTTCATGTTTCGCGGCAAAATATTCTCCGGTATATTCTGTCTTTTAGAATTCAAACATTTAGGTTTCCAAAACGGCTAGTTCGCGGCATTAGGGTTTAGGTTTTAGGGCTCTTAGTCCCCGTGCCTATGGCCGCCGCTCCTCCTCCCGCGGCGCCCTCCTCTTTGGAAATCGTGTTGGGATCGCTGGATCGCGGGGCTGCTGCCAGCGCTGGCGAGGAATCGTTCCTGCTCCTGCCGCTGTGGAATGTGAGCCATGGTGGGGCCGAATCGCAGGAGATCGGAGATGTGTCGTTGCGCAAGATCACGGTGCTGTCCGGCGCTTTGGCTTCCAAGGTGAGTAATGAGGAGGCGCTCGTGGCAAGCATTCCGAAAGCCTCCAAGTCTAAAGTTTTAGAGCTGCTCAAACATCATCTGCAGAATCTTAGACATTTTGGCAGCAGTAGCAGTAGCAGCAGTGACGGCGGTCTTCTATTCTCCGGCCTAGTGAACGACCGGGTAGTCCAGGATCAGGAGCTCAGGAATTTGCTCAAGCAAAAGTCCAGGGGAATCAGTCGAAGACTTGTGAGCACTGTTCTACGATGGTCTGTCAGTGTCGGGTTTTGGGATCCAGTTGCGACGCTTTTGGAGTGTGGATTGGTTTCTTCCAACGAGAATCCAGAGATCATCGACAGGATTGTGGAAGATGGCAACGTACCGCTGGTTCTTCTCTGCGTTCTTTCCGTCCGTGACATTCGTCCTTCCCAGTGGTTGGAGATACTGAAACTCTTTCTCGCCAACAGCAAGAAGTTTGCCAAGTTCTTCCAGCTCCAGCGGCAAGTTTGGCATGAACTCGTCTCCAACCACATCCAGGACGCTGTGAGGCTTCGAGGGGAGATCTCCGCGGATGGAAACCAAACCGAGGAGTTCCTAGCTCGTAAAAGGGAAGAACTGGCGCTCAATGTGGCAGCTTGCGTCAACCTGGCTGTTGCTTTCGACAGATTCACAGCGTCCGAGCTGTGCCTCCACATCTTTCTCAGCGCCGACCACGATGAAGCTGTTCTAACCGCCATAGTCTCGGAAGAGCTGGACACCTCTCAAGTTTCGATACTTCTTCGTTACCTCAACAAGTGGCTGGAAGTTTTCTCCTCGAAGATGATCCACGCTCGGGAGATGGATCAAAGCTTGGTACCGTCGCTGCAAACAATCATCCGCTGGATCTCGACGATTCTAGAGATCCGATACGCGAGTCTGGTGATAGCACGCGACTTGAGCAAAGATCTGGGAGAGACGGCGGGTCTGGTGAGCTCACTACTGGCCGTGGGTGGAAAAATGCGAAGCATGGAGGGTGTGCTCCAGCATTTGATCTCGCGAACAGCGCTTCCCGGCGAGAAGCTGGGAGTTCAAAGCTCGGAGCACATAATCGAGTACCTGGAGATCAGCTAGACAAGTTCTTGCGAGTGAGTTTTCTTTTCTTTCTTTCTTCTTTTCATCAAATTTTGTCTACGAGGATTTCTCGAGTTCTTCCTATAGCTGCGAGGATTTTACCCAGTTCTCTCGAGCTCTCTTCACGGCTGCCCGGGCTTTGATCACTTCGGCCTCGGAAAATTGGAGTTCTTTGATTCCCAGAGGCCCGGGCTTGAGCACATCCATCACTCCTTGGAGCTCGCCTTCGCGTTGTCTGGAAAAATAAAAGATCTTTCATCAATCCATGGAAGAACATCATCGCTACCCAAAACTTATACCTCAATTGCGAGACCACTGCCGCCACGAAATACTCCATTGTCTTTCGCGCTGACATGATAAACCCTAAAACTTCAAGCAAGGGTTTTTATCTTTTACCTTGAAAGTTACCCAAGGTCAAAGAATTTATTTGGCGGAGGTTGGGGTTTTTGTTCTCCAGAGAGGAGAAGCGAGCATTTTGTTTTTGGCGGTGACGATGAAGGCGCGCGACATAGGTGCCGCCGACAACGCCACCAGAGCGATCGCCAGCGACGGCGCCACGGAAACATCATCAGCAGTGAGGTATGGATCGTGATTTCGCTGCGCCGGCTGCTGCTACTGCTCGGCGGAATCGATTCCATCCATGGCGCTGTCCGTGTGTGAGGAGTACCGCGCGCTCGTCGACAAGGCCTACAACAAGTTCTCGCGGCTGCGAGATTTCCCTCCCTACGGCCAGAACAAGTGGGATTTCTACTTCCGCAAGGCATTCCAGGTGTACACCAAGCTGTGGAAATTCCAGCAGGATAATCGCCAGAAGCTCGTCGAGGCAGGGCTCAAGCGCTGGGAGATTGGCGAGATTGCCTCTCGGATCGGGCAGCTCTACTACATCTACTATCTCCGCACGAGCGATGCTACTTTCGTGAAAGAGTCTTACATCTTCTACGAGGCCATTCTCAGCCGTGAGTATTTCAAGGAACCAGGCAAGGATATAACGCTCGCGAATAAGCAGCTCAGATACTTCGCTCGATTCATTGTCATATGTTTGCTACTTAACAGGTGGGATATGGTGAATCGCCTTGTCAGGCAACTCCATATCCTCGTCGAGGACTACTCGAGCTCTTTCCAGGTATCGATCATGGGGGAAAATACCTGAAAAGTTCCTTTTTTTTCTACTTACTTTTCGCTGTTCCTTACAGAATAGTGATGTCAAGGAATGGAAAACCGTCACGCAGGAGATTGTCCGTTTTCTAAAGGCCGATTCCTTGGCTGAGCTGAGCAGGCCTATTCGATACATCTCGGCTCTCGATGGTCAAGTTTCCTCCTTTCCTAGTGTCTCCAAGTTGGAGGGACACAAAGCTCTGAGGCTCAAGAATGCTGTTCTCGTGAGCTATTTCCATAATGAGGTACGTGGTTTGACTCCTTTTGCTGCGGCGGGATGGTGGTAACTTTAATGCTTTCTGGTGCCAGGTGAAGTTCAGCGAGCTGACACTGGACAACTTTAGAATGCTTCAATGTTTGGAATGGGAGCCTAGCGGGTCTTTCTATCGCATGAAGTCCGCGACGGATTCAAATGCTGGAGGGTTGCTTGCTCAGGATATAGCTGATCCGACTCTTCCTGCCAACCCTCACAAATACATTCTATATCGTCCCAACATTCACCAGCTGCTTATGGTAAGAAGTGATTTCTTTCGTGCGTGCGCTTCTTGCTTATGGTTTTTCTTGCAGGTTTTAGCTACTGCTTGTGAGGAAGTGCCTCCAGACTCTGCAGTATTGCTGTATCTGTCAGCTGCAGGTACTCGAAATTTTCTTGTGTGACACATCAATTCGTGCTTCGATTGCTTTCCAGGAAGATCCCGTGCTGGTTCCCATGACAGGAGCGGTGTTTCTACTCAATTTTCAAAGGAGGCTTCAAGCACAGACTCATCCCCCGATCGCTCCGACGCTCTTTTAGAAGAGACTCCTGTTTCTGCCGGCAGTCCTAGGCGACGAGTTGATGGATCGACTGGCTTATCGCTTGGACGACGAGGAAGCAACGTCTATCCAGGCGACTTGCTTCCATTTACAAGGAGGCCGCTGTTTATCATCGTCGACAGTGACGCTAGCAACATATTTGAGGTACCTCGCTTATGCTTTTTGGAAACAACATTACTCTGGTTTGTCACTCTTTGCAGTCCTTGTGCGGTGACGAAAGAGGCGAGCCAGTGGTGTTACTTCTTTCGCCAACCGCAAAGCCATACACGGCAAAGCACCCAGGTGCAGGCAGCACCTTCACCTTTTTCCTCACTGCGCCTTTGCAAGCCCTTTGCCAAATGACAAATGTGCGTGTCACTGAGCTCCAGCAGGTATGGAAGATTGAAAATGGTGTCAACATTTTTCCTTCCTTACGTTTTCCCTCTTCTTTTCCAGGGAAGTTACGAGCAGGCCGAAAAGATGGTGTCGAGCACACTACTGGAATTGGGAAACTTGCTGGCTTCTTCCGGTAGCCTCAACGTTGCCTGGGGACGTGTCTTGGGTGATCCATTCCTTCGTCAGCTCCTTTTCCGGTAAGTTTGTCACTTCGAGTTTTCTATCTTAGCTGAGAATCGCCGTCTCGCCTGCTAGATTCGTGTTTGCTCGCGCTTGCTACTCTTTGCATCGACTGTACGTAGGAAAGAGCGAGTATTATCCTCGATGCTTGCCGCCGCTACCAGAGGAGGTACTGCCAAGATCTAGAGTGGTAGAATTGAGCGTTTTACAGGTCGCGAGATTGTTGTGCGTCGCGGACCAATTTATTTTCTCGGAGAACGGCTCGTAAGAAGAAAAGTTGGATTGATGATCTCCGTCGTTGTGCGTCAACCTTTAAACAAGAAAGCCCTCGCTCCAAGGACAGTGGTAAGTTCTTCACGAAGGACAACTACATCATGCTGGCTCGCTCCACATACCGGAGGAGGAAGCTCTACCTTGAGAATCCTTTCCACAACGTGTAGGAAGAGATTCATTTCAAGTATTGGGATGACTGGTCCAGGGCTTGCATTTTCAACAACAGGATCGCGGTGTGCTGCTCACGTCCAACTTGACACCATGAGGATCGGTGGTTGACAACAAGATTTTTTGAATGGACACGAGTCTGATTGAGTTTGATACCGCAACTAATTCTTTTCTCGTATTATGCCTTGCCCGAGGATGGCGAGGATATCTACCTCGCCGCTTGGAAATCCAAGCTCTATGTAATGATGGTGATTACCAATTGTGGCGAGCGTAAGGTTCAGATCTTGGTGACCAGGCTTGCGGGCGGGTATCTGATAATTACGACATCGAGTTCATTGGTCAAGATGGGAACTACCTGAATTTTTGTGGGGAGGATGTCTACTTGCTTCTCTTTTGACATGGATGCCGGGACTTGAGACAAAAACATCGACACCTCTGCAGATACATCTGTCACTTGATTGATATACACTTTTTAATTTTACTTTGCAACTACATTGCTTTGCTTGACTCGACTCAATTCAATATTTGATGTCTCAGGTTGCTCGGGGCTTCTTTCGAGGCCTTGAAGCACTATGTGGACGTCTATAGTCTTAAAACCTCGTTGCTTTAGGAGCATTGGTTTGAAGGCATTACGGGCAGCGGTAGGGCAAACTTCTAGCCTATTTCAACAAATGCTATGCAAAATTCCGTTTCTCGTAAACATGTTTGATGTTTGGAGCTTTACGAAGTCGTGGATTCTCCAAGGGAATTTAGCCATGGGATCAACATCTATTAAATACCACACCGAAACATATTTAAAGAGCGCATCCAGAGGTAGTACATCTGTTCCATATAGGGCAGCAAATAGGCTTGGACTTCGGAGGGCAGCACGCAAAGTTTGGTTTGAACGAAATAAAGCTGCAGCTAATCCTCTTGGAGCACGGAACTGGGGGTGATGGCGGTGGTCGAGGAGGCGGCGGTGGCGGAGATGGTGGTGGCGGTGGTACCTTCGCTTTGACAGGAAAGTAGACGAAGCCATTCACTCCGCATCGACCCAGTGGCAGGCCATGGTTTCCACGCTGCAGCCTCATGTAGCCTTTCTCTCCCCAGCTTGTCCCCGCCGAGTTTTTGATGATCCAGTAGTCCTGGCCGTTTTCGGATCCATATCCGACGATGAGCACTGCTAGATACGGAGTTGCCTGGTCGTCTTTGCACGGGCCCTTGTAAATCCCCTGCATTTTTAGTTCAAAGGCTTCAGCGAGTTGTCCTTCACAAAAGATAAAATGACTTTTCTCATACCCCTTTGTAGCTAAGGAACTCCGGCGCATTGCCATCGATTAGAGCTGTCACGGGTTGCTTGGCAACCTGCTTGACGATGTCAGTGTCGTCGCTGGAGCTGTAGAAATTGTCGTAATTGTCAATGCCTACGGAGTTGCGGTTCTGGAAGAGCACAACTTTTAGTAAAAAACAATGGAAACAGGAGAGCACGCACGCACTTACGTGTTTTCGGCAGGTGCCATTGAATCCTGTGAAGGGGTAATCCGATGCGGTGGAGAGGCCATTCCCTGTGTCGACGACGTACTCAAATGCGTTCTGGGGAAACCCGCTGTGGCAGCCATCGGTGCCGTAGCTCCGGGAGCAATCCAGCAGCTGCTGCGCCGACAGCTCCACCAACACTCCAGTCGCAATCTTGTTGATTCCCTCGATGGCTTCTGCCGCCGCGAATGCCCAGCTGCCATCTGTAACATGATTTTAAATCCAAACCACAGGCTAAAACATAAATAGAGAGAAAAACCGACTTACTCTGGCATCCTTTACGATCTTTCACAGGTGTGACGGCTCCCAAAGTTCTCCAGTCAATGGATTTGGGAGGGTCAGAGCCGACGTCGCCAAACATTCTGATGCCTGCATCACCATCCAGATTACTATCACTTGTGATAGTACTCCGAAGGGCGGCATTTGCATTTGCAGCAAGCAGGAGGAAGAACGAAATCGAGACCAAGGGATGAGGAGACATTCTTAGACAGTCGTTGAAGCACGAGAACGAAGGGCTATAAAAGCATTTCACAACACCCCACGAGGACCATGCGGCTGAACACTTCGTCCATCGTACAACACTTTTGACAGGCTTTTGTTAGGGCAAAAAAACGTGCAAATGAATGAGGCTCTTTGCCAATGACTCACCACCAGCAGCCGTAAAACCGTGCGCGGATGGTTGTATGCGGCTGCATATAACCAGGCATTGTCCAGGTGCCAGCATTGCATTGGCTGAATCGAGGTCTATGCACGTACATGATTAGATATTCCTAGAATATCATCTATGACTAATGGCATGTTCATGACCCCATACTATGATTCATTTCATGGCCATCATGCGCCAATATGAAAGGTCATGCAAGAAGGATTTAGTCACCCTTTTTATGAATCCAATTCATGGATTTTTACCCAAATTATCCACCTTTTCATTTGTTAAGCTCACAATCTCATAACAAAATAGAAGACTAGAGAGAAAATTAATCAAGACAAGTCTGGAGTGATCAAATTATAGACAAATTGTAGGATAACATATAGACGGTTTTGTGTGTTTGGTTAATTGGACACTTGCATACAATCATCTATATACAGGAGGGTTTTACACCCACCATTAACTTAGAATTTTTACATTAGAAGATTTTAAAATTTTAATGTTATTCTTTTCACATCAATACTACATTTTTGTAATAAAAACTTTAGATAATGCCAATAAGTTAGTCAATTTAATAATACTTTGTTCACACCAGCCATTAAATTATACTTAAAAGTGATTTAGAAACACATCTCTCAGAAATGTTGAGCATGTGATAGAAGAGAGGATTCCACAAACAAGGAATCAAAATTTCCCTTGTGTGAGAGGGAGAGAAGCCATGGATCGCGAAGCAAGAACTTCCTTGATCACTGGCACTGCAAAAACAAAGATCTCTATAGAAGAGGAGGGAACACAGTCTTGGGTTTTAAGTATTTTCAAAATGCCAGTGGCGCCAACATGTTCTAGGGCCGCCTTGTTCTCAACACTTTGGACGGCCGATTCAAGCCAGTAGTGGCAGCAGCAGCGGTAGCAAAAGGTGGCAGCAATCACGAAGATCTTGGCTCCAGCCACCCCCATCCGCATCAATCTCCCTTGCCCTCTTCGCACCACCTCCTCTATCTCCCCCCTCCTCGAAAGCGGCAGCGGCAGAGGAGAGGAGTGCCACGGCGGCAATGACGATGATAGGAGGAGCTTCCACGGTGGCAGCGATGGCGTCAAGCGGCACGGCAGAGCTGAGCAATGCTCTGGAATCTGGTGTTGGGCACAAGTGCAAGAGCCCCGACGAGCCTAAGAGACTTCTCTAGTGGGGGCAGCGGCAGAGGCAGCGGAATGGGCGTGTCGTGGAAGTGACCAAGGGAGGAGGAAGAGGCGGCACTTGTGGTCACAGCACCATCACAGCTCTGCCAACAACACTGCCACCAATCACCACCACCACCACCAACACCACCACGAGGAGTCGTCACAGAAGATGGCAATCCATGCAAATCGGAGGGTTGTGCGTGTGGAGAAGTAGTAGCAGCACGGCAGCGCTTGAATCTAGCCCAAGTGGTGCCCTATAGAATATTTATGGAATTTAATCTTAATGCTACAAAAGTGTAGCATTAGGATTTTAGTGAAAAATGCAAAAGAAATGTTAATTGTAACATTAGCTTACTTTAATGTTTATTTCTGGTGTGAACAAGTTACCATTAAATTTAGCTATTAGATTAGAGTTTCAAAATCTAATATAATAGTGTGGTGGTGTGAATGAATTACCATTAAATTTCCTTCTTTAACATTTTTCCTTCCATTCCTTTGTTCCTCTTTTGAAAAAATGGTGTTAAAAAGTATTGGCTTCATGGAACATGGGTGCTCCAAGTTCAAAATTCTATAATTGAGCATCAAGTGTGTTTGCTATTCTTTGTGTTTATTATTTATGTGTTCCTTTTATTTTAAGGACAAATGTTCTTGATATCCTAGAATATGTTAGAAAGTGCTTACTTTAAAAGATTTAAACAATCATCATCTTTCTATATTTAAAAGAGCAAGTGCAACATATTTAATCTAGAAATTTTTTTCTTGGGTGGTTGAGATGGAAAAGAAGTTATAGCAGCAGAAGGTATATTTTCAACAATAGCATTGTTATTATTACTATTGTAATTCTTGAAATGTAAAAGGAAATATTTTCTTAGTAACACTAGTGCATTTATAACTATAGTGTGATTATTGTTTTTTAGCCAAGTATTTTCAGCTCTTTCTTTTTATTCAATTTTTAACTAAGGAGGTAATTCTCTCCTAAGGATGCCAAGCACTAGAGTCTCTTACTACTAATGAAAAACATTTTATGAGCCATGTTTTGGCCCTTTTTGGTGTCTTGGATTGTCTTGGAGAATATGGTTATATATTTCATGAAAGAAATCTAAATCCTTGAAGTAAGACATTTTTTTTGTATTTGTTAAGCTCCAAAGAAAGTATTCCCCTTCTAAATATGAAAGTCTTCATAAGGATAAAAGGTTTAGGCTTTATATTTATAATCTTTCTTCTTAAGAAACTTTCTACTCTAGTATAAGTATCTATCAAACATCTTTAGTGGAATTAGGGTGTTATCTAAAAAATGCTATAAGTTGCTAAACAAGTCAAGACATTTTATGTCGCGAATGTGACTGTGGATATCGAAAGTTATTTGTCAATTAGTTCTTTTGGATATTCTTTCCTTACTGCCACGACAGCAAGAAATTGGTATTGCTAAATCTTTTATTAATCTCCACTTAAGCTAGTTGAGAAACTAATCAATGGCCGTGTACTTAAATTGAATAAACATAGGGTA